GTAAGACGAAGGCATAGTACACAGTGAGCTGTCGTCCATGATACTGAATAATCGTTAGAATACGACTTGAAAACGTATCCAGTGATAAGATAACCCTGAAAAAAAAAAGTACGGATAAAAAAAGGAAAAACACACACAAGCAAACTAAGATAATTATCTCAGACGTTATTGCTGGTGTCTCCCTTCTGGGAATAGGCTTGTTGTAATTTCTAAGATCACTTTACGGCATGTAAATCAAACATGACAGCAAAAGTTTGCTTGTTGTTAGCATTTACTTGCTGCAGTTCGCTTGCGGTGGCCCTTATCGCCTTTAGAACAGGGGTAGTTTTTTTTTTTTTCCAAATGCGCTGAGATAAGCTCGAGACGAGCGCAAAACGTATGTGACGAACGTTAGGAGCTCCCTTCGCCCGTGACCGACAAGCTCGACTCGCGCGGAAGTCTGCTCAGATGAAAAGCGCAGAACAAATTGCGCAGTTTCTTGGCCTTTGTTTGCCGCAGTTTGCCTGTGGTGAGCTGTTTTTTTTCTTTTTAAATATTGGATTTACGTCAGCTACTTCTGTTTTCTGAAAACTGCCAAAAAAAACTTACGATAGCGGCAGTTCAAATTTAACTTACGTGAGCAGTTTTTTTACTACTTTTGGATGTTTACATTCTGTTTCGAATATGAGATCATAGACAATCTTACCACATTTAGCAAAAACATCAGGATAACTGTCACGGTTTTAGGTCCGCCGAAACGTAGTAACAAGTAGGCCAAAAGGATGTTAACAACAGAGTGAAAACAAGACCAACCTAGAATGAGAACAAAGGCAAAAACTTATAGTTTTTGGTGACTAGTTGTTTGATTTCTTCTGAGTGACATGCTTGAATTAGTTGACAGGAGTTTGGCAGAAATCTAATGATCATACATGGGGTGCAAAAAAAATATTAATTAGGTAAATATACTGGATTTGCGTAGCCGGTAACCGGTCAAGTCGCCCGAAAGTCAACTTACCCGAAGTCATGTCGCCTGATACCAGAGTCATGCCGCCCGAAATTCATAGCCATGTCGCCCGAAATTTTATTGAGTGTTAAATCTTGACAAAAAGTAACAATCGCAAGGAATAAACTCGTAAAATGTTTTCGTCCGCTAACCTATGCGAATATGAAGTACAACGAAGACTCAAATATCGCTGTTCATTTCAGCGTTGTTCGTTGCTATGAACTAAACTACTCACTCTACAGTACAGATTCTAGAAATTATAAGCGGAACACTTTCAGTTATCAGAATTTTTCTCACATATCAGAAAAATACATCAAGTTCTCTTAGTTTGATTTATCGTATAAAAAACAACCTGAAACTTTTACAACGGTTTTTTTGTTTATTGTTAACCACGCGAACAAAGCGTGTTAGCATCATTCCCCCTTAAGATCAGATGACTTTCAGGCGACTTGACCGTAAACCTGCGTAGCCCTAGGTTTGCGGTTGATATTTTTTTTTGTTTTTCTTTGTTCGCTGGTCTTTTTTCTTTTAATCAGGAAACAAACAATCACGAATCAGGCTTAAACCGATAAAGCCTGCAACTCAATAAATCCAAAATACCACTTTGGACAATTTTTAGTTACATTTTTCACCGCAGTTTGCGTGACAAGTTTAAGCCTTTTTGTACTTTCTTTATTCAAAGGATCCGCGTGAGATTGCAGTGAAACTGATGAACTCACTATTAACCGTTGATTGATGAAAAACTGAATTGCTCAAGGAAATGATATCCTCAGATTTTGCCGATTGTGTTTTGTTTTGTGAAATACCTTAAGTTAAAAAAAATCAATCAATTAAGAATCGATTTTGTTGAACAAATAAATAAATCCTGCGTGACCAGTTAATTTGTCGGCGTGTACCCACGAGGAGCTTGCGTGACAAGTTTTGAATTTCATGTTCGTTTCACTCACCAAAACAAAAGAAAGCTAGCAGAAGCCCACACACGGTGATGAAGAAATGCTGTGGGGCGAAAGAAGAATAATCATGATTAAAAAAAAAGTTCATTAGCTCATAAGTATTCACTGCAAGTGGTCAATAGAGGCTCTCACCTGAGTGGTTGGGTTCTTCCGATAACAAAAGGCTCTATAAACAAAAGCTAGCGGCAAACCTAAATGAAAGAGTGTGAAGTGGAAGACAAATTTAATGCACCCGTGGAGAATATTCATTTCAAACACGAAAATTATGAGTGTCAATTTTTTTAAATATTCGACTCGACTTGCCCCTAAATGGGCAAAGTAATATAGCTAAGTTTAAGTTGTTTGTTTACAGCCACCTATGTGTTTTGGGTCCGACATTTGTGTTCATAAAGTGATTTTCAAGCAACTCTAATTTTCCATTTTCGTTATGCGTAGGCGATGTAGGTTACTTTTTTAATTGCTGAAATCAATGTACCATCACTCCTAAATTCAACGAATAGGTTTGATCGCTTTTCAAACAACCGTTGACCTGAGATGAGTCTTATACGGAATTTTGTAAAGTGTGTCGCCTCATCAACAACATACTATTATAAATACCTTGTATTACATAATCTCTAAGAAAACCTACCATACCTCGTGACTACTAGTGAAGCTTGTGTTAGGTTAACCAAGGCCAAGTAAACAGGCGACTGAACAGAATTATAAGACAATTCAGCCATGTAATTTCAATCGTACAGTCTACCAAGAGGTAACGGTTCACTGGCGATGAGGTTATAAGCTTCCGCCTTATATTATCGAACCAGTATGACTGCGGACATGAAGCAAGAGTGTCACCGTTGAATACATACCTGCGAACAAGCTGATCGTTAGGCAAAGAACAGATTCCGCCACTCCAGCGCGCTTGGCTGCGTAAGCTATCAAGTTCTCCGTATTGCTGGCTGTTTCCATTTCCAACCGTAAATACCAGCTTTGTTGAGATAAGAGTATTAACCAGAGTGTTGAGACAAATCCCAAGGAAATTTAATTTGCATCGAGTAGGGCGATAGAGGAATTGTTGCTCATCGTAGATACAAATCCGAGCAACAAGCCTATGCGCATAAATTATTTCACCGCAATGGTGATACTTTCGAAACGGTTTTCCGAGCGGGCTTGTTTTGTCACGCAATCGCGTGGAATTATTGATAAAACCTTCTGCGAGGGATCGATTTTTTTTCTGTTTCTTTTTCTTGTCTTTATTTTTGTTTTTGAAAGCTTTTTTTTTAGAGACATTGTTCTTTCACGTTCTTGCTACCAAAAAATGTTCAAAATAGAAATCATACGAAACACAATATGACTGAGGGCTGCCAAATTCCTAGAGTACTTTCCTTTCCTTTACGTGTCACTTAATGGATATGCGGAAGTGATAATTTTTGACTTTACCGAGTAACAACTGTTGGATAAATGTCGCAATACAACGCATTTAATTTTAACCAAAGTAGCTTTTCGCAGCCGATTGAGAGTATTTTAAGAACTTATGGATATTGTTGACTTAAAATGAAGCATTGAAGTATTGTGGTTCATACTTCGGTCCAGTCACTATTTATAACGGTGGGGAAGGGGGGGGGAGTTGGGTGGGGTCGGAGTCTTTTTGCGAAACGCCTGATGCATAGAGTGCGGCAGTTATTGCAACCAGCAGACCAAGAGACGAATCCAAAGTTTAATGAATACTTAAGGATCGCGAGTTTTACCTAAGGGAGACATTTATGTCACAGTTGAAAACCTTCATTATGAAGTTGCTTCTAATAAAACCCGCAACAAATCGGTCGCTGTTTTAATCAAGAAATTATCTTCATGCACACAAATAAAAAACTCACACTCTCATTCATTTGAAAAGGAAGCCTCCACTTCATTATCGACCGCTTCGAAGTGGCTTAAAATTGTAACCCACAAAAGGGGATGAAAATGAGTTGTATTAGGAGTCTCTTTACTAACCAATAGCACAGAAACAAGTTCAGGTTAACAAATAGATTAGGCTCCAAGTCGCGGTGCACTGGATCGCAGATGACGTCAAAATGAAGTAAGAACAACTGAGTAGCAGTGTCACTGATGTCTTTGCCACATTTTGACGTTTTCTGTTATCTATTATTACACAGACACACGGCAACATAGAATCTATTCGTGTTATACTATAATTAAGAAAATTTTGTCAATAGTCGCATCATTTATGCGTCTTTCCTTCAATAGATCATAAATTAGAAACTATCAAAATGTGTGTATACCTCAGTTTACGATAAAAACCCTTTTGAGACCATCAATATAAGGGAAATCATCATTACCTTTCTCTACTTGTGAAGAGGAGAGCCTAATGTAGAGCAGCCTGAAAATGAGGTTGAAATCTTTCTGAGGCACACAGCAAAAGCAATACAGAACGATAATTTAAGAATAAGATAATTTAAGAAATATGATAATCAATTTGACAGTTTGTGTTAAAAAAAGCAAGTAAACAACAACAGCGCTTAAAGTATACTTTCCAGTATGACCTGAGCGATGCAAGTGATGTGGGAGGTAGAGCAGATACTTGCAGGAACGTGTAGGACCACAGTTACCTTGACAGTAGCGTCCGTTCTACTCGCTATACCTTACTTACTTTTATTAAACACTTAACACAGGAGTTGCAATGAAAGCTGGTGACCAGCGGTCTACCGCTGCCTGAAATACCTCTTACCGCTGTCTATTTAGCCTGCTCACTGGGTCTCGCTCCACGGCACAGCTGCCTATAACACTATCGGCAGCCGCTTATGGATAAAAGTTATTGAAACCCCTGTTAACAGCAATGAGAGTAAAAAAAAAAGCAAACAAACAAACAAAAAGGCTCAGTCTTTTTTCAAACAAGAACATCTGGAAAATCTACGTTGCTGTGGTTAACACCCTGCAATTCACAGCTAGTATAAGATAAAATTACATGGAATCTAACTTCCAAATAGGAAACTCATCCATACGTAAATCTAAAACCTATCAGAGGGAAGAGAAAGACTCCTATGGAATTTCTCTAAATAAAAACTACATATTAAAATTGTTAATAGCCGAAACCAAGATGTAAAAAAAAACATTTTTTAACAACTGATAACAATAATAAGAAAAAGATTCAACAATTTTTTTACTGATGTTCAATACTTTAATAATTCAGATAACCGCGTGACTAAGGAACAAGATTAAGTGACGGCCTAGTCTCCTGAGCAGCAGTTGTATGGTCTCGTCACGCAACGCACTCTCTCCCCCACCACTAGGAGAGAACTCGTCGTGAGACGAGAGCAAACAACGGCTGCGAAGGAAACTAGTGACGGGCCAACCAAATAAATCTGAGATTAACTCAGCTTCTTTACTGGATTAAAACAAAAAGAATGTAATACATCTAAAACTAAAATCACACGAAAACAAATTATTCGATTAAGATTGTGCAAAAACTTGCTTGAAAGTAAAAAAGACAGGCTTCAGTAAATATCTCCCAACACTAGCTCTGGAGATGCGAACTAATAAATGCAATGCCTCTTCTGCAGATATCCTAGTTCTCTTTCTTTGACCTGCAAACAAAAAACTTAATTTACTTTAATTAATTCTTGATTCTGGACTTCGCAAAAGTGTTTCTATAACAACCAACTTACCAGAACTGCCTCGAATAATTATATTAGACACAAATCAAAGTAATCACAACAGCCAATCACGGTAAAGCAAAAGATCACAACGGGCCAATGACAAGTCAGAAAAAAACAAGCAAACTGCCTGTTAGACGAGAAAAAGTGAGTAGCCAAGGCACGATCGGTTTAACTTATGCATCTCATTGGTTGAGAGGGTGGTGTGAATTTTCAAGAGAGCGAAGTTTAAAAAAACCAGTGCAATATTGGATTACACTAGGAGGAGTTTGTTTTGACAAACCCGGGCTTAAGTGAGCGATATGTCCAATTTTTATGGATGGTTCTAAACCAGTTGGGAACCCGGCAAACCATAAAGGAGCTTCGAAAAGACATATTTAAAAGGACAGTTGTACATCGTCATGTGTCATTGTGTTAGGACTTGTGTCTTACTAGCCTGCAGAGCAGGCGTAATTTTGGCGAACGAGTGCATAGTATTTTCTTAACAAAATTATGGCCGCCATCTTTGATTTTACGACAGCAGAAGGCTGGGGAGAGAAAGGAATTTGTACCAAGGGGGAGGTCAACGGTCAAAAATAAGGAGAAGGGTAGATAAACGATCGCGGGCTTGTTACGTTTGCTCACCCTAATAAGACGCCTGCACTGCAGGCCATACGCTAGTGTCTTACCTGTCCTTTTTATCTTGTGTCATCTTTTTAAAGACTGGGTAGATGATGATTGGATAAAGCGAGTGCCATATGACTAATATCACTGGGACAATGTAGTAAATTGAACTCCAAACCTACAAACCACAAGTCGGAGTAGAAAGACTCGTGAAAAATGAGCTGGAAAATGGCACTTAATTTAGATATTTTCAATCGAACATTTTCAACGTTACATATATAATTTTCTTACTTTCAATCGACAACCAAGACCGAATAAAGAGCTTTTTTCCGTTGGCAGTCATTTCCTTTATTCTCAAAACCTTAATGTTTGATTCAGTGGTAATAATGTATGAAGGAGATAGATGCTATTCACTTCCAGTGGTTAATGGGATAAAAGCAACCTCGAAAACCTCTTAGGTATAAGATGTTTAACAAACGCCATGTTGCCCTTCAAGACGGGCATATTTTATGGGGAGAATTTAGGCGAAACTATCCTATTGTGCTAAAAAAAAAAAAAAAAAAAAAAAAAAAAAAAAAAAAAAGAGCCCATACTGTTGTACGCTATTCTGAAGACGAAAAGCACTTCAAAGCAACCTCAGTGAGGCCTCATTCAAACTGTAGCCTAAAACCTGATGCCGTGTTAGCCTAAATTCACTGACCCGTCCCCACTCGTCTCTTATTTTTGATTTGTAGCCGCAGGGTTACGAGGGAATTAGCACTACCAAGACGCAGGGGTCGATGGGAAGAACCTCTCGCGTGCTTTTCTCATCAATATTTAGCGGTAGAATGACGACTGTCGAGTTCGCTAAATGCTTATAAAGCGTTTACCTACCCTGTGAAAACGCGAGACGATCAATAGATTAAATGACACCATGAAATACGCCAGGCCAAAATGTACAATGAACATACAAGTTGAAATGACAGGAAATCTGACGTATGCAGGCATCTCTGACAAGGGCTTCTTGGTCACGGTATTACACATACTTAGTACCTGAGTAACGAGTAGAAAACAAAACTGTAAGTTGTATTTTGGCAACTTACATAAGTACACAATATATTTAGAAACCAATCTAAAATAGTAATATGGGCACGAGGTAGTTTGTGCAAACGCAAAATAATCTTTAGAAATTTTATGCTTGTTTTCTTTAAAATGTGTGGGAAAACATGAATGATTTGGAATTGAATCGTTTTGCTTACGGCGTGCGTCAGCTTGTAACCGCACTAGTGTCCAACACCTTCGCCTTTTCGGTACTTGTATTATGTCTTTGAATCTCCTTTTTCCTCTTCAATTTATTGTAGTAGTAATTAAAAGGCACCCACTGAGTGATAAAAATATATTTACCTGTTTTTCCATCACCATGATGACAAATTCTCCAAAGAAACAAACGAAATATCCCAAAAACAATCCATGCCACAAAGCAAGAAACATCAGCGAGAGGAAATGCGACAAGTTTTTGTTCCCAAGGAAACGAAGGCGCTTGAAAAAGTACCTGCAACCACGAACCGTCCAAAATGCTTTAAATGGTTGGTATGGTATAACCTAAGATTTTTAATTCACTTTGTCGAAGTGGAGGTTACATTCTCAGGATGTTTTGTGTTTAAGCACGTACTACAAGTCAAGCAGGCATATCAGGATTCTCAACGTAAGTCTATCGAAATACACTACGATGCTGAACAGGTCTGAACATCGCCTGTGAGGAAGCCTCGTTAGCGTTGCGAGGGATCTAGTTTCAGAAAAAACGCAGATCCTTGGCAAACATCAAACATGCCCGCATCACTCGCCAGCTCGAAGACCGCGAGGTTCGTCGCTTTGTCGCTCCCGCCGCAGCGCCAAGTAAAGCCTGCTCGAAAGCTTCTCTGAATACTACTCGGGAGGGGAGGGGGGTAGTTTAGTGACTGAGTATTCAACAAGAGACGCTTTGGACATCGCTAGCACCAGTAGTATTCAAGGAACTGGCTCAGTAGAGGAAATAATGTTCACTGACCTGAGTACCCATTTATTGGTATTGATATTAAAGGAATCAACGCAATGCTGCAAGAAAAAAATTTTTATAAAAGTTCAATCTACTTTTGGAGTACGATGACTTATATGTAACATGTAACTGACACAGATTCTACAAAACAAAAGGCAGTGGAATTGAACATTTAACCCATCGAGAAAAACTTCTTCCATTTATTTCTTTTCGTTTGATTGTTTGTTGTTGTTGTTTTTTTAATAAGGGAAAGAAAATAATAACAATATTTAAGCATGTTTTATGTAAGAAATACCAGGGATACAGACTGGACAAATTACTGATGACAGTCACATTTGAGATAAAATTATAATTAGCAGCAACACCCCAATTCCTGTCACTCCCAGGATCCAAATACCATTTCTCCACACTGTCTGCCACATTTTTTCTTATACTTTCGTATCGAGAAGTTGGTAGTAAATCATACAGTAACCCTTTGTCAATACCTTTTTGTTATTCCCACCACCTTCCCAATTTTGGAAAAATTAATAGATATAACACAAAAGATATTCCTTTTGGCTGCTTGTGGAATGATCATGTGCTTAGTGGAAAGAATGTAAGCCCATTGAAACTGAAGGAGATGAAATTATTTATGTATTTATTAATCAATTTTTTTTCGCTGTACATGGCTATTTAAGCTTTACAAACTAATAACACGTACAATAAAGAGAATCAACTCACCTGGAAAGTGTACATTGTTTCGTACACTGAGAGCCGTATATTTCTAAGTCCATCCCACTTTACTACACCATCTTCGGTTTTACCATTGTAGCTGATTCCAGAAATAATACAGCTGCCCTCCTAAAACCAAAACAGATCAATTTAGGAGGAGGCCCATAAACTTTGGGAAGCTGTTGATACACTGTGAGAAATAATCCAAAAAATAATTTTCACCTTCTTTCTGAACACATGCCAAATTTGGTTTGTTAGTGTCAAGTATGAAATAAATGCTTGTGCTTGTTACTTATTTGTACCCACATGTGATTGTTGCCCTGGGGTAGTTAACCTTTTAACTCCAAATATCAAATTGTTAATTCTCTCCTCTAGCCACTACATATTTCCTTGTAAATTAGTTACAAGAAGTTACATGTTGATAACTTCTGGGAATTAAACTGTTAATGATTTGTTTGTACTCACAGAGAGAAGCCACACTGCCAGGTACTTCATGAATGTCACTCTGCTATAAAAAACTATATACCAGACTTTTGCAAGAAATGAATACTCCTACAGAAAAAAATCAGAGAGAGAAGATCTTGACAGCTTTACACAAATTAGGAGGCTTTTCAAGCACTTAAAGAAAAAAACAAATAAATCAAAGCTAGTGGCACAATGGCTGACCAGGATATAAGAAAATATCATAGAGATAGTGAGAGATCCAGGTAAATAAGCAACCTTCCTGACTCCAAGAAAACTGCATGTGACCAAATCACAATGGGTATTAGCTTTTTAAGTGATTAATAAATTAAAGGGGCACTGCAATTTTTCCCAGCTCAAGCACATCTAACATACAATGTAGTACACAAACATTGAGAAATTCCCTGAAAGCTATTAACTAAAGAAATTAACTTACATGTATCTTGGAAAATTTTATATTGTAACTTTAATTTAGGGCATATAGCTTTCTAACAAGTTCATGATAAGAAAAACTTGTCTAGGGTTTTTCATTCAAAAGTTGGAAGTACATGTACCATAAAAATTAATGTTTCTGTCACTCTATAGCTGGCCAATGCTACACCCAATGCATACTGGTCAAAACTGGGTCTTTAATACTTCTTACAGACCTGAAATGCATCTGATAAGAGTCCAGTTTCTGAGAACCATGGATTTAATGCACCATAAAGGGCAAGGTACAGGATACCAAGAACCATGCGCTTCAAACCTGATGCAACCCTACATAATTAAAAATCAAACACTTCTTACAGTAAATGAAAGGGTCAAGAGAAAAATTTAAGGAAAGGACACTGTATGTGACTCAACAAAAAACTTCACCCAGCCACAGGAATTGAACACAAGCCTCAACATTGGGAAATGAGTATTGCCACCCCTGCACCATCCCTGATCCCTGGTTCCCCTGTTAGGGGAAATCTACAATTTTTCAGTGGACAATTATTGTGCTTCTGATTGGTAATGGGGCAAACCTGTGCAAGCAAGACAAATGATCCCCACAAAATTGTCATAAATAGAACCATGACATAGACCACCCAGCTTTGCAGCTACTTCATTTGTCTAACTCTTAGGTGTGACTTTGACAAGATTATAATATTGTGTGCACAACAGCAATGGGTAAGCCACTCACCGGCCATTATCATCATCTTTCTTGTCCATTAGCGTCCCATTAACAAATGCTAAGTACCCCTTGGTTTGAAACTAGGACAAAAAACAAACAGATAGACAAACAAACAACAACCAAATTTTCAACAGTACATTTACAAAAAAAGTGTTTCATGCAGCTGAGGATTTTGTGCATTCTTTCCATGTTTCACTCCACTTTGAAGGATTATAAAATGATTTCGTACTTACCAGGCAAAAATTACATAATTTGATATAGCACACGCAAAATAAACACTAAACCCAATGACCCTAAAACTATGTAAAAAATTCTTAACAGCATTTAGAGAGGAAAATGAAGTTTTCACAAGACTATGTAATCATTATAGCTGATTTGCCTTTTCAGGTTAAATTATCTCACACTTCATTTACTTAACATCTGTTTTTTTGTGTAAGGTGCAACAGTGACTTACTCCCCTCATTAAGGAGGTAATAGAGATCATTGCTGAGAATTCACCAATACATATTAACTAAATAAAGGGGGAAGTTTCTACAGAAACTGTGGTGCTGCGTTAGTGGGAGAGTGTAACAGGGTAATTTAGAGTTATCAACTGAGGTGATAAAGTAAATTGGCCACCGTAAAGAGTTAAAAAGCTGACTTTCTGCCGAAGGGCTGAGGCTCAATAATTCAGCTTTGAAACTCTTTATGGTGGCCAATTTTACAAATATCAACTCAGCTAATGATACATATTAACTGCTTGTGATACTAAGTATAATGATGCTCATTTGTAGAGTATAATAATATGTATATGGATACTTGTTTGTTGTTTACCTGGGGACCAACTAGAAATCCTCCATAAAAGTAGCTAAGACCCATCATCTTAACAAAATAGGGAAAAAAGCATAAAAGATAAGTATTCAATTTGTATGAGGTGCGAAGATTCATACCACTTTATCACTATAAGTGGTCTGTTAGACTTATATAAATTAGGCAACATGTTGTTGAGAAATTGTTGATAACAGCTTGAGCTTCACACTGGGTTTTTTTTTTATTTTTCTATCTGTGCCATTAAACTCCTTAACCCTTTTATCCCGAAGAGTGACCAGCATCTAATTTCTCCTTACAATATCACCTTTGAATTAAACATCAAGGTCATGAGAATAAAGGAAATGATCATCGACTATAGCAGCTCTTGATTATTAAACAAACTCTCTTTGTCAGCACCTGGGGAAATGTATAGCGAATAGTATGGAGAACATGCATACTGACGTTAGGGCATAGAGGGTTATATCCCATGGGTGACCAAGACAGAATCTTTTTCATTACAGTGTTAATACAATGTCTAGTAGACAAGTGATAAGAATAAAGAAAATATCAGTTAGGGATTTTGTTAGTTGAACTTATGCTAAATTCTCCATCATGAAAATTTTTATAGCAGACAGTGAGGAAAATTACCAATGAGATCTCAGGAGTGAAACCAGTTAGAAAGTAAAATAATGCACGTTGTAAAAATACTGATAGTAGTTACCAAAATGAAGAACTGATAAATACCTCCAGTAGTGTCGGGGGTGTTGCAATGGCAGTGGTCTTTTGATCAGCGGATATTTTCTCCTAGAGTGAAAAAAATAGGTATCTCACCAGTCCAATTACCTTCATGTTGTCCTTTACTAAGAGTTCTGTCATATGTTAAGCTTAAAAGGCATTAACAGGGACACAATGTTCAACTACCACAAATACTTTTTTACCTTGAATTCTTTATTCTTACTAATCTACAAATTAATGTCAGAATTTGTACCCTTTGGTTTGTACACGGTATGTTTTTTATTTTCATTGAAAGTTGTGGTAGCCAAGTGGTTACATGCTCAACTTTTGATTTGAACCCAAAGCCACTTTTGTTGTGTTCTGAGGAGAATGCTTTTCTCTTACAGTGCCCCTCTCCACCCAGGAGTATCAGTGGGTACCAGCAATTCAAGAAGCAAACCTCAATGTCATTTCATATACACTGTAACAGAACCTAAGAAGATCTCTAACAGTGCCAACTGCATGAGTTACAGTATTCTCATGTGAAGACGTTTAACATTCATCATCTGGGTTTCTATTTGGTTAACATTATTATTTCCTGGTCACATTTTCTGTTCATGAATGGCAATATGTAAAATTCTTTAAACACTATCTTGACGTCACTGACAGTTTCAGTCTGGAATCATATTTGCAGCAAATTATTTGCAAGCAGAATTGTTATATTTTATATCCATATCTTTGATTTCTGATATGTAGTGTGTAAGATTCATTTATCAGCAAGTTCAAAACAAACCCTACCTGGTCTTGATTTCCATCATAGTAGTCCCAGGCCACACCTAAAAGGAGACATTTTAGAGTCAAGAAATGCTTAATTTAGGTACAACAGAGGGAAATGTAGTGGCCTAAAGGTCTGCAGACTGGATTTTGGGTCTAAGGATAAAGGGTAAAAAACCTGGCAGGGTCATCATTGTGTTCTTGATGATGATAATGATGATGATGATAATAATAATAATAATAATAATAATAATAATAATAATAACAATATTAATATTAATAATAATAATAATAGTAATAATAATAATAACTTTAGACACAAGAACACTGATAAGCAAGGAAAGCTCATTACAAAAGTGTATGTGTATAACTAAAATTAGTTGGTAAATCTATATATATATATATATAGATATGTATGTCTTTATGTATGTATATGTGTGTATTATATATATATATATATATATATATATATATATCTTATTATAGGACATACAGGCGATTACAATTGCATTACACTAAATGAGAATAATGATAATACATGCACACAAGGTGCATTTACAATCTAACTCATTCAATTTTAATTTCTTTAACTCACTTCTAAACTTATAAATCCTACTAACATCCCTTACTTCTTGTGTAAGATTATTCCAAAGCCTACTACCAACGTAAGAAAAGGAGCAATGCCCAAAATGAGATCTACAGGCAAAAAAACTGCAATAAAGCTACATCAATCAATGACCAACCAAGAACTTACTTATCAGCTTTAGACACAGAATACACTGGGGTGTAGTCCAGTTGACGTCATACCCCCCTGAGGCATTGCAGATATAGCCACTTAATAAATATCCCTGGAAAAAAAAACATAAAATAACAAACTGAGTGTACTATATTCTTTGTTGAATCCTTTATAACTACTAAAGATACTTAAATCAATACCCAATCATTTGTAACTCCTTAAAATTAAGCTGACATTGTAATTTAACACATAATTTTTAAAAATAAATTCAGTGGAACCAATTAAATTCTCCTCACAAATCCATATGCACTGTAGTTGTGTGTAAGTTAGTTGGATTGCACAAAGTTTCTGAGTTCATTTTATACCATGACACAAAATATGGCAAATCAGAATATAGGAGGGCAGTTGTATACTCACTGGTATTAAACCCAACCCTTCCACTGTGTGTTGATGGTGATCTTATTCCAAAATTTAGTCTGTGGTGCCACTTTCTAGTTCTTTTGAGTATCTTTTAAATCACTTTTAATTATTTGCCATATGGTACACAAACTCCCATAGAGAATTATATATATAAATATATATATACTGAGAAAGTTATTTGTCACTAGTTGAAAGATTTGAGCGTCTGATACGTGTACATTCTCAGCACATGCAATGTGGGCATGGCAAAATGTATAAAAGAAGTACTATCAGAACTGACTGTTTGAAGACTGAGATCTTTCTTTTGTTTGCATCAAACAGTAATTTGCTAAAGAATTACCATAGAACTATTCCATGAGTGTGAGTTGGCCATAAAGTCTAATCTCAAATCTAACAAGTGCAGAAATTGTTGTTAATGATGGAAAAATATTTGAGATGTCCTGTAGGTCAAATACAAATGTTGCCATGTTATTTACCATAAACTAAGATCTAAAGCTTACCATGTTAAATAAAAACATGACTATAACCATGTTTATGGACGGCCCAAGAATGTGTACCAGCAAGTAGGAAGAAGTAATGGTTATCAGGGAGTGAACAGCACACCAGCCTGGTTAAAACAAAAGGAAATGGCAGATTATTTCCAGCTTCAATGACTGCTTCTTAATACTTAACCTACATATACCATATACCTTGAAACTTAAAACTTCTAATTATTAGAACTTCTTGCAATTAGAACTGAGACCTTGATGTTTCTTTGTTCAAGTTCACTTGCTATGATCCCAGACAAAAGAAAACAATGCAAGTGGATTTACAAATTTGAATTACAACATTATTGTATCCACTGAATCTGATATAATAGTATTTATGACATTTCACGAGGAAATGTGAAGAAACAGGGTACATCTTACCATAACAGAAAAGAGCCAATGAAAGCCCACAAATGGTGAAATAGACATGCTGTAAAAGATCAGTATATAATTTAGGATGGTTTATAAATTAAACATTATCCATTCAATAAATTGATTACAATGTAAGTAAAAGATAGAGTCTGCAATGAAGCAAAGGGACTCTCCTTGCCACAATTTATTTCAGTTTCTGTAGAATGAAATGACTGGGAGTAACACTACTCCCCTGGATGAGACACTAGTAAATCAAAGATTACCTCCCCCTCCTTAAAAAGCATTTCATCAAGCTTCCCTGACAGAGTGTCTCTACTTACTTATACTACTGGATGGAGAGAGACATTGTGAGTGTCAGGTGTCTTGGCCAATAGCACAACACAACGACTCTGCCAGGCCTCAAACTGAGACTGGTCTCCCCTGAGTCCAGTGCACCACTAACATCCAGAAATGCATGCAGTAACAAGAATGGCAGTTTTGATGAAATTTCGTTTAACTAAGTGAATTTTCATGGATTCAATAGTTTTAGCACATTTTAATCAAATTCTTCAAAGCAAAATATCACAGAATTGATGATTTTGACAAATTTTAGTCAAATTCATCAAAGCAAAATCAGTCTGATGGATTTGACGACTTTGACAAATTTGTGCCATTTTCATTACTTCCTGCATTTCTGGACACACCCAATATACTAAAGATAGGCTACCAGCCACAGCCGAATGACAAAAAACTTTGACTTACCTGAAGAACAGGTTTGGTTCTATAAAAAAATGCTTGATAAATGAAGGCCAAAGGATAAGCTAAAAAAAAAATTACAGTACTTGTCATTTATAATCATCAATAGCATCTTTGATTTCTAATATATACATTACTGGTTGATTCATCAGACACCTTCCTACATTTACATGTATGTTAAGGTCAAAATGTGTTAGCGGATTGACATCATCCATCTATCACCTACCCACACCTTTCAAGCAGTTCTACTCGCTAGTTTATATCATATGGTGCAAAATCACTGGAACTTATCCTGCAGACTATCCCCTGCATACATCAATATTTGTATTTCGATTATTTCTGTCAAAAAGATACAAAGCCAGCTTGAAAAAAGGCAGCTCAAGAATTTCACTTTTCCATCTTTGTCACTTTTATATAGAGTCAAAACAAATTTGTTTAGTGGAGTCCAGTGGTAGTTACATTAAAAGGTTGATCTCAAATGCTTCTCCAGAAAGTACAAAAAAACCAACACAAGTTGCTGTGAATGCATGATACTAAAATTAATATGAGGGTTTTAAAATAAACAAACCCTCTTCTGGCTTGCTGGTATGTTGGCTGATAGTGTCATAGCCAAGAGATTGTTTATATTTTTGTAACTTGGAGTGAATACTGATCGTCACTGTAAGGGACCCCAAAAAGATGTGCGACCAATAATTTCCATCTCTAAAGAACTGTATCTGGCATCTCAGTAGAGGTAAAAACCTTTATCAGAGAATGCTTACAGCTACTACGTTTTAACTGCTATCAGATTGCAGTTAACACTTGCTTGCTGATAAAACTAGCTTGAAATCACCTTTTTCTGAAATTCATTTGGAACTACAGCACACGTGCAGTGCCATAAGTCGAATGCTACGTTGCCTTCAATATTAGCCTATTAAGTTAGAAGCTATATTTTGTTAGCCTATGAAGTGATCTCATACAAAGCAGTTGGGTTGTGCACTGAAGCAGATAAGTGGTGCATTTGGTTTCGTTCACTTGACAAGATGTGGCCAACCGACGAATCAAAGTTTGGTCAAGTGTGGAAAAAAAAAGTTATGAGGTCGAGGTCAACAAATTTAATTACAAATAAATCAAGCTTTGACTGTCTGGTCGAGTCCTGTACCTTCGGCGGACTGCTTTCATAAGCTTGGTAACCGTACTTTCGTTCGATTTCAAGCGAATTAATTCTCTCCCAGTCCAGAAACAAATAAATCATAAATTACGTTTTCATTTGTACTGATCGATCGATCAAGTGTGCCTCTAACTGTGACTCCTGCCATAAAATACCAAAACAAAAAAACCAACGACAAAAAAAAAAAATACACGAAAAGAATAAACACTTGAGAGGAACGTGACTGTCTGCGATGCAAGAGACTATGACTAAACATAAAAAAAAAGATAGCTTTTTTCTAGAGTCGTTGTAACTCGAGATTCGACCCCATGATTGTCCAAGATGTAATCGTCATCTGGCAAATACTGCTCACCACAAACAATGTAATCAAAATTACCTGAGAATAACGCGATGACTAGACGAAGGGCAGCATCTGAAAACCCAGATGCCTTCACTAAAACATCTATACTACCGAAACCACCACAATCCGCCATTTTATTAATGTTATCGACAATGGCACCTGGCGCCTGGAACCGAGGCAAAAGAAAAATATCTTGGATAGGGGCAGGACAGGGTGAGCGATGATTACAACGATTAAGTTTATCCTCTTGTTATCTGTGATGTTTCATTATAAATTAAGATCACTTATTATAAATTCCCATTCTTTTAGGAAGACTTCAATTCGACTCGATCTTCCTGAGTGTGATCGATTACCCATCACGTGGTCACGATGATGGCAGATCACGCGATCGCAGCGTGCTGCTGGCTGGATAGCTAATATTTGTCGCTGAACCAAAGAAAGCCATTAGATAGTCTAGATAGATGCATGTCCGTTTGGACGCAGTGAAGAGAGTCGATGACAGATTCGGGTGTCATACCTGATCTTTTGATAAAATGGCTGGGTAATAAATGAGCACTCGAAAAATGAACCTGAGCTAGTTCAGTTTTTTTTACCACGCGGGAAACCAACTTTGGAAGCCCAAGAGTGTTAGGCGCTATGGGAAGTTTTTATTCGACTTCGTATGCACCCGGGACGCGCTATAAGGACGACTTGGAACGAGTTTCATGCAGAATAGAGAAAACTACAACTTTTTAAAAATCTTAGTGTTCCTCTAAGTGGAAATTTAGACCTCTAAGAAGGACAGAGATGATTTGCCAAGAAAAGTGGATACAAAAATCTCGTCCAAAGAAGTACCTGGAGAAATTGCGGAAAAACTGTTGAGCCAAATAAACACTCTCTTTCAAACCATGCTCATATCACACACTTTTTCTGTCCCATTTCTTTTTCGTATACTGACAAGACGGGAGGTACCTGAGCTATTTCTCAACGTGAAGTAGTAACATTCTGTGAACAATGTGTCCCAAGAGGTTTTGTCTATGATTGTTGCCTTCCGAATTTCCAGTGTCATTACGGAGCCTCAGCTTGAAAAATAGGATCCAGCCCTATGAACTAGAAAGAAGAGAGGAGTAATCCGGTGTATAGCGCTTTATTTTGTGGCTTAAAACCAGGGGGAGATGCTGATTCGAAACCGGCTGCAAGGCCTTTGATCATACTCTCATTTGGCGCTACTTGACGAGCGTCTCGATCTTGCGAGGCCTGCGGGAGGCCCGTGCCAGACCGCTCTCAGACTTTCCGCCGCGAACAAAGCGAGCCAACTCGCCTCTGTCAGACTTTTCAAGGATCTCGACATTCTAGAGGAGTTGCGCCAGAGAGAGTCTGCTCGTAAGCTACGAAGCCACGCCCGAAAAAACTAAAGTTTCCAAAAATCGTCATCGATATTTTTTGTGCTGTGAGGATTACCTTCAGACAATAAAATTTAATGTGAAAAAAACTACGCATGATGGCGGTTCATGGCGGAGAACAAAGCGGAGATGTCCAACTGAGCTGCCAGAGAGGAAGTTCCTATATTCTTTGAAAACTTTTATTTTTGATATGTGGGCAAGCGAACTCCAACAAAAAACGTACAAAAAGCACTTTTGTTTAGCTGAAGCTGATGGAATTGGGAGGTCGTTTGAAAAAGCTACCTTACTTTCATTTGCGCATCTAGAGCCCACCTTTTATGGAGAATGTTGCTTAAAAAATCGTCTCAATCTCATTCATGTCTGCCATACCAACCCCCGCTATTCCCCCTTGATTATTCATTTCTTCACTGGCTACAACCCAGTTAACATAACATTAACATACCAAAGAGGCACCAAAAAAAAAAAAAACTCGTGAGTCGTCAACATTTTTCAATCAGATAGCACGATTAATTCGATCAAAATTCTCGTACAATCAGAGCCTTACATACTAACGCACTGCCGCAAGCATCTCGAACTTCGCCGATCGAACAGAAGTAGAAACTCGTGATCGGTGTCTTATGGCTAACAGGCGTTCAACTCTAACATGCGAAATAGAAATAAAAGTATAAAAAAAACTGTGGAGGTGCTTTCCAGCCTGGCGTGCCAGTTGTCAAGTCAAACGACCTAACAGTGGGTGGTTGTTGTGTTTTCAGCTGCTCACTCAATACTACACAGTGCGAGCATAACTTACATCTAATATCGATCGGTTTATTAAAGCGCGGACGCATCACAAGCCACAGGAGGCTCTGGGCAATTGTCCAGTGACTGTTGGAGTCTATAATGCATCGGTGATATGTCTTAATAACATGACACATTTTAGGTGAACGGAAAATAAATTAATAATAATAGTACTACCGCGGGGGTATTCTTTTACTTACGACTTCCTTTTTGCTTCAAAGGCACCTTAAGCTTGTTTGATTGCGCAGTCTGCCAAAGGGTTTATGGGTGTCGACATATCAATGTAAATTTCCATCTGCCTTGAGAACTTTCAACTTTTTTCTTGCTATATTTACACAGAATCCGTTCGGATCATTTAGCTAAAAAACCCTTAGATAACTACGAGTACAACCCGTCCAAATATACGAATACCTTTCTTGAAAAGCTCGAAACATGGGATCGGCAAAAATAGATGGAAAACGTATTATGCAAATGTTGATTTCTTTCGTAATAGATTCAACTATAACATGATAGAAAGATCTTCCTGTGAGGGGGAATTCTGTATGGTTTTGAAAGTATTGTTGACTAATTCGTTTCTCGCGTGACTGTCTGTTTTTTCTCCTAATTAGAATGGAGAACATTCGATCGTTTATCGGGAAAACCCACGAATTTATCTGATGTCACATGTCAGTTTGATCTTAGTCTAAGCAAACTCGAAATTAAACAAAAAGACACAGTTGATAAAACCGACTGATTTTAAAATGTTATCTCCACTAAACCTTAATTATTAATTTAAAGTAGTCCTTCGATTACAGGTTAAATTTCTGTAGACAGACATGATTGCTTATAGGAACGAAGGAACTCGTAGCTGAGCGGTAGAAAAAGCAAATGATTTATAGCTCATTACAGGAGCAGATCGTCTATAAAAATTACACCGCCCTTTGAATTCACTAAGAGGGATTATATTTTTCAAATCCAAATCATCTTCTAAAGTCTTTATGGACACTGTACGTCAATGTTTTGAATAAAAGCCATTATAAAACGCCGAGGAGAAAGACAACTGCAGTTTAAGTTGAGTTCTTCATGATAGCTGACCGGCTAGAATTGCTCAAGTTTGTTTTGTAGGAATTTTATTTTCACGTGAATGTTTAATGATGGGTAAGCCGCCGACCGACCGTGTTTAGACAGCTATCAATTTCAATCAGTCTTAAGATCCTAATTCCATCCCAGCAAGGAACAAGGAAGCAGAACTTGGCACAGGTATAAAAGCCGATTATTAATTGATCAGTTTCGAATCCATCGTGTGTTTTTCTTTTCGCTCAAATGACAAGCGCGTCACGAGAGGAACCGAAATAATCCAAGAGAGATCCAATAGGAATTATCAAAAGAGAAGAAAAATGTGCATATCAGTGACGGTAAGGCTTAGAAACAATGGACAGATGTTATGTTTTTGTCTTTAATCTCGCTTACACTTCAGCATTTTGAAGTGCTCTTTGCAGGGGTGTCTTTTACCTTCAGAAAAGGTCTTTCTTGGCATTGCCCACGGCAGACTGTAAAAATTGAGCACTTTAAAATTCATGCAAGGAAAAACTAACGTCGAAAAAATGTTACACAGAAAGGAGGCAAAGAGCTTTGGAAGGGATGTACATGAGCAATGGTTAAATAGGCCAAGAGTGTTTCATTGTCAAAGGACGACTGTCGAACTGTTTCCCATTTCTCTCATGTCTTTTCCTCCTGTTTCCAACAGACCTACGCTTTCTACTTCTCAATACAAAACAATCCAAAATCTTAGGAAAATCGACACAAACATCCTGGTAGAAAAGGAAGTCACAGAGGCAAACTGAATTTTTACAAAAATATACTGTTTTTAGTGAAAATAACCATTTATATTTACCTTGATTTTATTGGTCTCTCCTTCCATTGAAAATATCGATGAACAACAGACAGCAATGAAAAAGTATAACTTAAGTTTTTAACCAGAAAATAAAACTGCAATGGTCTTTCATAATTGCATATGCATTCCCTGAAAAATTTAATAGTCTTCACAATCTCTGTTAATCTTCAATACACCAGAACTGTAATGAAAGCTTAGGGCTTTTGTCAGCAAACATCAACGAGTGATGTTTTCAAGTCTCCTAAAGGAGTCTGAATATAATGGGATCACAAAAAAAAAGTTCTTTGCAATTTCTAAATGATAGATTGAAGGTGTACAGCACATTTAATGTTCCTCAAAGCAAGTCTAAAAATGAGTGATGGAAATTGGTAGTATAAACTGTAAGGATACATGAGATTGTTTCAATGCACTTGTTACCAATAAGGAACTAACAAGCAGACAAATTAAGTGAAAATCCATTTTTTTAATCACTACTGTGGGCAGTTTAACTAGGAAATATTGTAACAAATAACATCTAGATTTTGAACCTTTTCAGCCCTTGAAACTGGAAAATAAGCAATTGTGGGGTTGCACAACATAAAATGGTAAATGAGTAAACTAAAAAAAAATTAAAATTTTTTAAACATCCTAGACAAACTTCTTAATAGAGGTGTGAGATATCCATGACTTTTTGAGAAATCAGCCAGCTTTATATATTTGGAAGAAATAGTTCATATTGATTTCTGTACTTCTCTGTAACACAACAAAAGTAAAATACTAATATTAATAGAAACTAAAAAAAAACATTTAAATCTGACTAACACTTTGGGAAAATAGCCAATACCATGATTAATGAAAATTACTTGTCAAATGAAAGCCTTGGAAAAAAACCCCAAGACTGATGCTTTAAAGATTTACACCTCAACCCTTTACATCCTTACATTAGCATTCATATGTTCCACACAGTTCTCCCAACTTTCCTATGTTACTGACAAGGATTATTTTTTTGGAAATAGATAAAGAAAGATGGAAAGTTTTGAGCTTGGTAGAGAAATAGAGGACAAAGTTTTTTTCTGCCTTGTTACGAGCATGGAAAAAAAGAAAAAATGAGTCCCCACAAGAAATCAAACCTAAGACCTTCAGATTCCACACTCTAATGCTCTACCACTTACCCACAGAGACTCTGTGATGTGCAAGGCTCATTACGAAGTTCATATATAATAAGGGTCCTTCATAACTATAACTTATCATCTTCTTATCCAGTTTACAAAACATGATGCTATCAACATTGCTGATCCTACCAGTGTGCAGGACGCTTGTC